ACTTCTGTGAAACATATGTAATGCTATTATATGTCGATAACACTAGGGAATGAAAGCATAAATATGAGAATGATAACATAATGAATATATCAAAATGTATACATGTAAAAATATATTTCCATTATTAAAAAATGTTAAGTTTTGACAAGTGATTTAATCTAAATGAATAGATGCCTATGTGCAACTTTGATTTTTTTTTTTTCTTTCTGCTAGCTGCAGTGTATCTAGGAATAAAAGCTAGTTGAAATAGAAAACAACATTTGTAGTATACTGAACTATGGCCCATGATGCTACCCTTAATAAGGCTCCCAAGCCAGACATTTATATTTCCATTATTTTATTTTCGTAACATAATTGTGAGTTGACAACCAAGTTAACCATCCCTCCCTCCATCTCTAGATATAGTAAACATATTCATCATTCTACTTCTCATTTAAAAACCAGAAAAGCTGCTGAAAATAAGCATAGGGAAGAAAGTAAACCCAGGCCCAAAGATATCATGAAACACTCCAAATTATTTCACATTATCACAGCCACTAGCACCCTTGTAGTTTATAAGAGTTTATGCTTTTCCAATATGTAAATAATAATCCTACTGAATAGTACCAAGTTATATGGCAATATAATTATAAATCTAAGTTATACCGATGGGACCTACTATTCTAGCCATAATACTTGAGAATAAATCTATTACATAAATACATCAAAAATAATAGCAACTTAATACAAACTGGTTGGTCAATTCTTTTGTGAGAAAAAGTTCTTGGTGACTGGAGAAATACTGGGGTCCTATTCTGAATTAGAGACAAACTATGATAAGACAGCCTTGAGTAAACATGATTTACTTTGACACTCTCCACTCTCAATATTCATTTAGTTTATGACACCCACATAGAGACACTATTTATGATAATTACTACTTTTTTGACCAATTATAGTCTACACCAGTACTGATAATCCTTATATTGAAAATTTGTAGTAAATAGTGTAAGTCTTTTGTATATTTCAGTGTAACTGAGTTATTGTACTCTCTGTCTTGAACTTAGAAACACTGAATCTTTGAGCTGGAAAACTGTCCCATTACCAAAGTGGAAACTCTCTTTGTGAAAAACTTAATGGATAGTGCAACTAATGTAATAATAAATTCTGAACATTTATATTAGAAAATTTTATTACTAGAATGTGCTACAATATGATCAAGCTGAAAATATAAAATCAAAATATTATCAATGCAAATGAAAATGTGGCATATATGATGTCATCAAATATGTGGCGACATTTCAAATTCTGCCAAATCTTACTTGTTATGTGCTATACTTATATCATAATTACTAAAGAAAAAACTGGTTAATGATAACCTGATATTACAAAAAGCAAAAATTACAGAAGCTAAGAAATGCAAGTTTAACCAGTTGTTTTAGCTTGGAAGTGAAGCTATGTACTCAAGTTACCTTCATGTAACTAAGAAGACAGTGTGTATGGGTCACTTAACTAGTGAAGCTTATATCATATTTATAGCTGTATTATTTGCACTATTTTTAAAACTCCATTCATAATTTATCTATAGTACCTACATTTCAGCAATGATTTTATACCTATTAAGTAAATGACCTTGTTTTTGATTCTGGGATAGATATAAAGATGCAAAGCTCATTGTTTCTATGTATTGGATCTATTATCATATTTTAGCAAAGCTTTAGTTTAAAATATTTAATCATTATATAAAAATAAGCTAGTATAGTACTTGCTACATAACAAACGCTTAAAAAATGTTTGCTATGATTAAATGGAGGTTAGGCAAGGTTAGGTAAATTTGATCTGGTTAAGATCAAGGAATAAGTAGTTTTTAATGGTTAACCAAGTATATCAGACTGTTACTATGTATAGCTTATAAGAGTCACCAATTTTCTAAGAATTGGAAAGCTATTTCTTTTAACCTGAAATCATAGTTTAAACTTTTACTTATCTAGAATATATGTCAGGATTTTGGTGCAGTTAGTATAGATATGATTCTGCTATGGTTTATTTGTAGAGGGGCTAATTTATACAGTTTTGTAGTTCTAGGTATTAGCGAAAATTTTTACTGTGATTAGAGAAATATTTTCACTTGAATCTGGGCAATACCAACATATACCCTGAGAAGAAAAAAATATTCCTTTGCTTTCTCCAAATCACTCAAAAAAAATTACAGCCTACAAGTTAAAGTTGCTCTACCTGTTAAAGGCCCTTGGTAGTTGCTAGTAAAAAAATAATTGGTTTTCAGATATGTAAAGGGCAATGACTTAACAAATAAAAGAAAACGTGCCCTAAAATTAGAGATGAGAGTGTGCCTGCTTCTTTCACCCTTGTATCCAACCTTGCCTCCTTTTGAGACCATGTGACTGACAGTAAATTACAGCATGTAACAAATCTGCCTGTATGGAATTGGAAAAGTTATTTTTGTTTTCCTGGCTAAACTACCTTTCACTTCTGAAAGGGAGACTCAGATTCAATGCCTGATTCAATGTCAGATTCAACTATCTTTCACTTCTGAAAGTAAGACTCAGATTCAATAGCAGATTCAATAGACTGCCTATTTTAGTCTGAGACTTTACAGGCTAGTAAGTTTACATTTTATTTTTTAAAAATTAGAACATTTAAAAAGAACATTTATTTGTTGTGAGTATTAAAACAGTATCATTTGCTTGATGATTTTACCCTCAATAAAGGAATCCTTAAACTAGTTACTTTCAGGTCATTTCTACCCATTTCTAGTTTCTTTAATATATTACCAAGACTTGCTATCTCTTTGAATATGCATTTTATAATGTACAATACTACATTTAAAACATTTACTCTTAGATGAACCACATGATTTTATTCTATTCTAATCCTATCTATATGCACTTCTATTTGGTTTGATTTCTTAATTTTTACTTTTTCTAATCACCAAATTGAATATTATGGCATAAGTAAATAAGTTATTTAGAATGTGTCTATTTCTATTAAAATAACCCAAAAACCTTTAGTGATTAGGTTGTTAGCCAAAAAGGTGCAGAGTTTGATTATATGGAATTTTAAGAAACAACAGTCTCTTTCTGTTTTCAAACGATTCTTCTAAACCACAGGTTGACCAATTACAATGATTCTTAGTTAAGCATGGCGGGAAGAAGAGAGAAAATGGAACAGAAACCTGTGTGGTTAATGGAAGATCTTTCATCAGCTCTTATGGTGAAGTATAGTTACCATTAGAACCTAAAGTTATTCAAAGGAGAGGTCCCACTTGACATCACATAAGTTCTTTCTCTCTTTTCCCCAAATCCCAATAAGACTCATTAAGACAGAGAAAGAGAAATCATAAATGTGATTCACATTACTGTACTACTTTCTTCTCTGGGCACAATATTTACTTTCACGGGGGAATCATCTTGCTTAGTTTGTATGGTAATAGAAATGATATCTTGGATGTGGTTGTTAGAATACTAATTTTAGAAAAAAGGTGGCACATGGAGAGAAAAAACTTCTTCCATTAAAAAAATATACTCAAAAGAAAATGATAAGCATGCTTTCCTTGTGACACTAACCTATAACTTTATTCTTCTCAACATTTTAAGCAATATTATGGTACATTACTCAGTATTCTGTCAGAAAAACTGAAACAATGTCTGAACAATTACAGTGTTGGGTTCCACTTCAATGGTTTCTTTTGAGAACGAAAGCAAATTAGCTCAAGAATCACTATTTCTACACTCTTAACTCTTTTGGCTTTAAGTGGCTTTTGAAGGGAGTATCCCCAGATGAGAAACTTCTAACACTCCTGCAGAGATGACCTGCTTGAAGAACTGGCTGCCTGATTAACTATTAACTGCTCTCAATAGGATTAGATAATTAAGGACATTGATGACCATTAATTAGGAGGAGGGCACATTAATTTGTCACTGGATAGGGCCCTTACAATGATTTATAGGTTAGTGCTACTTGCAAATGTGAAGAGAAAGAGAAAAAGAGAGAGAACCATTAAGTTACCTTATCAAGTGGCCAGCTTAAAAAGGGCAGAGGGTCAAAAAAGGGCCAAAGTGGTCACTTAAGGGTGAAGTCCCAAACACCAAAGCAGTGCCAAGCCACATTGACCATCATTTGGTGATGAAGTTAAAAATATGCTAATTTATTGGTGGCAATTCTCTCTTTTTATGGTTTCAAGCAGTTAAGACAAGTGGCCTGCTTAGGAGCTTTTCATTTGAAAAGAGATTAAACAAAATGGTTCGTCAAGGCTGCTTGGCTGTTTTATGTCTTTGTTAAAAAAAATTGCACTGACTATACTGATAACTATCACATCACCCAAAAGCCATCTCTCTCTGAGCATTTACTTCGTTAATAAATACATCAATTCTAATTGCTTAACAGTTCTCTGTTCACTTGCTCTTTAGCAATATTACGTTGAAATTAATCTTTTGTCCTACTACTTTCTGTCACCATTGCTTACATAAGGGTCACAAAAAAGTTGCAGTGTCTTAGAAAATGTACTTAAAGATACTAGTGTAAATTATAATTTGTTTAGTTCCACTCCGAAAGGGAAAGGTAATTTGCTTTCCTTTACTATACTTTTCTTTACTAATAGTAAAGAAAAATGCTTTTAAAATGGAGATAAGAATCCTCTTAGCCACAGACAATTGGGGGTAGCATTCACATTCCACACACAAGTAAGCACAGCTCATTAACATTTAATTAAATATGCTTTTGAAAGCCATGGAAATATGCATATCATATTTATCATGTAAGTTTGGACCTTACTTTTAACAGATATTCAAAAGAAAATTATCTTTGCCATACTTGATATATTGTAAAAATAAAACAATAGTCTAAAAAATTACTATTATATCAGAAGAACTTAAAAATATTTAGCATAAAACATGTCCTAAGAATTTCATTAAAGTAAAAATAAGATAAAAATAATATAAAGTAAAAATAGGTTAAAAATGTTTACCTCAAGACTGTAAACTAGAACATAAAAATCATCTTACCTCAATGGTGAATAGTTTCCTTTTTAATTTAAAACCTAAGTCTTTGACATCTGATTCGTCACAAACCAAGTTATTAAGCCGAGGAATCTGCCGTATATGAATCAAGCCTTGTGGAGAGAAAATTAAAAGAAAAAAAATTTAAAACGTTGTCATGAGATGCATAAATTAAAGAGTCTTACAGCAGAATCCTGTAAATTTACACACAAGCATCCTCCCCTTTTAAAACTGGAGCTTACTACCAGGAGCAATGAAGCAAATGGTGTGATTATACTCAAGTAATCAAGCAGAATAAGATAAACAGAAATCCTTGTGCGAGGAAAACTAATTGCACTTTGGTACAGAAGTACAGATGTAAAGAGGGATCTTAATACTTGTCAAAACTACAGCCGATTTGTGTGTGATTTTCTCTTGTATTTACAGTAAGCAAATATGGCTATCACCTTGCATGCTGCCCACGGCACCACTGAGTGATCTTTATTTTATTAAATGCACCACTAAGCAGGCAGCAAAACAAGGCTTATGGGTTACTGATAACCAGTGAAGCACTCATGAAAAGTATTTCATTTTGTACCTTATTAATGAATTGAACAAAGAAAGAAGAAAACTACATTGCAGAGTACACCCTAAGACCAAATATTAAGCCCTATGCCATCCCAAGACACTCATTTCTATGGCATGTTAGACCTTTATGTAGCTGCTATAAGCTTTGCAACAGTGCTAGGTAAATCATGAGGCTTTGGCCTCTTGTCAGTAGAAACACTTGCTAATTTTTTCTGACAAGGGCACTGGATGGCTTTTGTGCAGCCTAATGTAGTTTCTGACTAAACTAGGGGTCATTTCCCACAGAGGAAGACATGGAAGGTTCTTCACTACATCTTTCTGCCTGACTCAGCTCATATTTAAAAATTGCCATCCTGAGGACACTGATTCAAAACATGGGGAGGAAAGGCAAATTACAGATTTGAACAGAGATAAATCTTATAGTATTGCTTCTCTAGTACAAGGTTTTGTGTGTTTGTTTAAATGCATAATAATGTATCTATTAGTCTTAGCTTAAACCTTTTAAGGTACTTAGCTTTAGAAATGGCCTGATCAAAAATAATTCACTAAAATATCTGACCATTTTTTAAACTTAAAAAATGTAAAAGGTATCATTAAGGACATAGCTTTCAGCTACAAATTAAGAGTATCTCAAACATACTATTTAATAAAATATATTTATTAGAAATAGGCACACCATACTTTTATTTGTATGTTTCTTATTTTAACCTTATATGTGCATGCTGAGCTATCCAATGCCTTATAGAATCCATTAATAATTTTATCATCAGGTCTTCCTTAACAGAAAGTATATTAGTCATTAGAACCACTCATTACTCTGTGGAAAATAATTTACCAATTCAGAGATTTTAGCACAAAGAATCACAGCCTTTCAACCTTTGAAATGTTTTAATCAAAATAAAATTTTTAAGAATATAATTTTACAAAATGCATAAGCTTATAATACTTCGTCTCATAAAATCTGGAAGCAAACTTCAAATAAGCGACTCAGCCTTTAAAGGTTTCCATAGAAGTATGGTAGTTCAATAATAATGGTAGTAATAATTTATATATATTAAGAATAATAAGTAAAAATCTGTTATTCACTACATTCTATATTCAGTTTAGACCTATAATACTAAGACCTAACTACTACACTTTTACTATTCATATAGTTCTATGTAAGACTCATTACTAAAAAGAATCCCCAAATTAACCAATTGACTAAAATATTACTAAGAGTAAAAAAAAAGTAAAAAGTCTGATGAATTCACCTGTGTTTATATCTAAGTGGCAATATTTTATAATTTGTTCATCACTCAAACTAACAAGAAAATGAGTAAAGAGAGAAAAGTCTAAATATAACCAAAGATAGTCTCTTTTTGAAAATGTAATTGACTAGCAATCTGTAAATATAATCCAGTAAGTATCTTATCATATGGCTAACCTTTGTTAAGTATAAACTGTTATAGAAAGCTGTTATTATTAGAATTAATATGATATTTATTTCAAACATGGCTAATAGGTATGACTAATTTCATGGCTACCTTAAGCCACTAAATAACAAAATATACATCTGACTGAGCCATGCTTAGTACTTGGGTTTGACTCCTTTCAGTTATCATAGTCTATAGTCTTAATGTAGTTTGGTAATAAGCTGCCATGGGGCTGGGCGCGGTGGCTCAAGCCTGTAATCCCAGCACTTTGGGAGGCCGAGGCGGGTGGATCACGAGGTCAAGAGATCCAGACCATCCTGGTCAATATGGTGAAACCCCGTCTCTACTAAAGATACAAAAAATTAGCTGGGCATGGTGGCGTGTGCCTGTAATCCCGGCTACTCTGGAGGCTGAGGCAGGAGAATTGCTTAAACCCAGGAGGCGGAGATTGTGGTGAGCCGAGATCACGCCATTGCACTCCAGCCTGGGTAACAAGAGCAAAACTCCGTCTCAAAAATAAAAGCTGCCATGGAAGATGGACAGGAATGGAAAACATTTAACAGATGTATTATAAAATAAAATCCATTCTATCTGACAGTAGCTATTTGGACTGAACAAGATGCTTCCAGGTAACCTAGAAGAAGCCTGTTCATGCTCTTCTCTTTATGAAGTTGCTACTTACCATGATAATCCTTATACAATGGGTTAGTTTCTCTCTCAGAACCAATAAATGATTCCAGACCAACTACTGTATCTGACAAGTTTGTGACATGGGCAATAAAGGCTTTATTCTGCAAAACATGAAAACAAAACAGTAACATTAAATGTTATGTTAATAATAAAGTATCTACACAATATCACTATGCCATCTCATGAAAAACTGTAGTGGAGATAGACCATTAACAGAGAAGTAATTTAAAAGTTAAAGCTACTATAGGCTGAAAACTGGATGAAAATATGCCCTTAATTGAACATGCTGACCCATGTAGTCATGCTATTTTAAATGGAAGAACTGAAGGGAAAATATAAATTGGTAGAAGACATAAAATGATTAGTTCTGGGAGAGAACATAAATTGATTATTTTTCACTTGTATTAAGGAATAGGACTACCTTCATTTTCATACATGATTATTTTTCAAATTACTTCATCCATTGCCCATTGGAAAAATCTGTCAGACAGCAGGATTAAGAAGCAGTAGATGGTACAGCATAAAGTGTAGGGCAAGAGTCCCACTGTTGTCTGTCAGCTGGGACTAGGTCCCAGCCCTATAACAGCTGAGGTCCTCTGTGACATATTAGAAACATGGAAAGGACTAGCTAAGAGACTGCAACATGGCTAGTTATGGAGTCTTCTGTTTTTCTCTTTCCAGATGCTGCCATTTGGCTCTGGGATAACAATAAAGGGAAAGAAAAGATGGTAGATAACTAACATTTAGACCAGTAGCCTATCCTTTCTTTCTCAACACAATCTGAGTTGAACTGAAATACTGCTAAATACATTTTAATAAATGTCACATTGTGCCAGATCAAAACAATAGGTTAATATGTTTACATACATAGTATGTTCGGTTATTAAGCAGCAAAAGTTCTAAATACTGAGAATCTCATGGCTATAAATATGTAATCATCAAATATCTGGTAGGGCTTTTTTTTGTTTGTTTTAATTCTTTAATTACTGGAAATCTAGTATTCCTTTTAGCCCCTGACAGGGTAGTAGATCAGAAAACTGTGATTATATGCTATGTCTTAGACAATTTTTTGCTTAGCAGATCTAGGTAAGCTGAAATTTTGTTTTGTAAAATTTTGCAATTTTGAAACTCTCATTTTATATAATCGTAATGTCAACCAGTTAAAAACTACTCTTTGAAGAAAAGAATGGGAAATACAAAAGTCAAGAAAATTTATCAGCCTGCTATATCCCGTTAGAAAGATGTAAAATACAATAAAATATTTTCATTTTCTGGAAACATAATTATGACTGAGCTTACTGATATTCTTAAGTCCCCTTATAAAGATGGCATAAGAATGAAAAATAAAAGAGGCTGGTCAATGTTACCTGACTTGGTATTATGAAACACATGTGTCACCAAATATTCTGTTGAAATGACTGGTTAACTCACACCTAGGGCAGTATTTGAAACTCCTTCATAAGTTGGAATGTGTGTTATATAAAGAATGTTTCGGCATCATATAAAGAATGTTTCAGCCTCTGGATCAGTGTTGTTAAAAAGATTCAGTAAAAATAATTATTCATAATTGTCTTTAATATGTTCAATCACGTGGGCACACTAAGTACAGAAAAACATAATTTGGAAATGCTTATTTTTTCTAAGGCAATTTTTCATTCAATGGTGAGAAAATAATCCAGATTGATTCCTTACTTTCAGTTCTGTGCCACAGGGGATGGTCCTACTCCAGGAATAACAGGGGCTTCAGAGGCCATAAACATGTTCCTCTCAATATTTCTTTAGCCAAAGACCATTATATCAAACTCATCCAGGTTGGGTTTCAGCCAGTTATTCTTCACCCAAACAAAAATGTCTGCCAGACATTCCAACAGCTGGGATACAGTTCACAATGAGTCAACTTGAAAATGATTCATTGTGCTGAGTACTGAACAATGTTGGTGTGGGGGTGGGGTGTGGCTGCATTGGTAGTAAAGGGTGAGAACAAGTGGGAGATGAAGAATAACCATGTGGTTCCCCCATTAAGAAGAATCTTGGATAACAACCAGCAGGCTCTTATCATTTCATTTTTAGGATAAACTCAACTGGGAAGAGTACTCCTGTCATGGACCCTCAGATGAACAAGCATTTTATAAAGGCTACTGACAGTATTTCTTAATCAAAAAGGTCAGATTTCCTTTTATCTATAAATAAAAGACTAAGCCTTTGTATCTAAATATCTGAATCTAAAATGATACAAGTCAATTTTTGTTAGAACTTAACTACTAAAGATATCAGTGATATAAACTAGGACTTTCTCGGTTATATGAATAATATAAATTGTAAGGTTTAAAGATGAGATTAATTTCCATTCTAGTAGTACATAAGCAAGGTACTGTGTTTTTAAATGGTCAACCTGACATTTGCTTATTTCAAAGATTTCCTTCTTTCACTTAATCTTAAAATTTACTAATAAACCATTTAATATCCTATAATATTTGTCAACTTTATAAGTCTTTTAAAGGTAGTTTGTGGGAGATTTTTAAAAAAATCAGTTAACCACTCAAAGGGGAAAACTAATGAATTCTAAGTAAAAAATATGTACAGCCTAGATTTCTAAAATTTCTAGAAACTCACTCATGTATTTCATTTATTATATTTCTAAGTTTCACAGGTTTGCATCATAGTTATTAACTACAAACTAAAGTCTACTGAAAAAACTTTAATAAAATATTAGGACAAAAATAACTTTTAATCATACTATTACCAAAAAATTGGTTATATTTCACAGCGACCTTACTGCTTTCTGCACAATTATTTTGCAAAATTGTTTGTATAATGTGGCAGACCAGATTAATTGTGAAAGTTGTGGGGATATCTGAAAAACATTTATAGAATAAAAAGCAATGGAAATTATATGAGAATAACACCTAACTTTTTGACTGAGAAAATGTTTATTTTTATTATAAATTTACTCAACCTTCTAGTTATATATAGGAGCATAAAATATATTGGGGCTTATAACTGTACATGTTTTTTAAAAAGTTATAAAAATTGTTATAGATTACTTCTGTACCTTTCCAAGCTTTATAAGGAATATGGTCTATTGATGTAATCTTACCTTAAAACCATTCTTGTCTAAAGGTCTTTCAAATAATAATATTAATATTAAATGGTCTTTTAGATAAAAGTAGGTGAATTTACTTAGAGGAATCTAAAATTAAGAGCTTAAAAAACCCATAAAAGCAAATAATCACAATTCACTTTAGCAGGAATACACTATGGATAATAAATTGTCATAATATAAGCAGCAGTGTTCAGAAAGCTTTACCATAATGATCTGAGCAGAGACCTTCACACTGGAACATCCACATTCTCATCTTAACAGACTCTAAGTGTTTTTATGTTATTAACCAAGACATAAAAAACCTCTTTGGTCTTCAGTATATATTAACAGATAGAAATGGAGATGTAGAGGTATTTGTATAGCAATTATTTAAATTTGAACATAATCTTTGCATTAATTTTGAAGTTGTTACAATATAGTCTCCAATACAGAACATTTCAGTAAGGACATTCAGAATTCACCAATCTGGCTAAATTAATGCTTATGGTGTATGTATGGTATAATGACAACACCCAAGTATGTACAATGATATTGCCACCCTTCCTCCTTGCCCATCTGGATATGAAAATGTAGGATGGCTCAAAAATCCTTCTTATCCTAGACAAATCTCCCTGCGCTACTGGGTGAAAGTTGTCAGCTCTGGATAGTAGCCAAGACATGACTAGGAGGAAAGCCAGAAGAGAGGAGAGCCAGTGTCCAGGAGTTTTAAGAGTTTGCTGGTAATCTCAAACAGCATTGTATTGTTACATAAAGGGTCTTAAAATTTTCTGTTGCAATGTAATTTAATTAATAATTTAAATTTAAAATATGCCAAATGGTGTTGCAAATAAGCAAAGCAAATCAGATTGTCCAGTCTTCTACCATTGTATTTCAATTTTAATTTCAAAAACAACCTTCAGAGTATTTGTTTTGACTGTTCTCTGTTTGGTTTCATAGAATGTTTCCTGTTTGCCATTATACAATGGTAATGCATTTTTTATTAGGATACACCACATCTGTTAAATAGATTTTAAATTAGGGAAGATTTAATGCTCCTTTTCAATTCAAAGTTCTTAAAGTCAAAACTATGAATTTTGTTAAGAGATAAAAATTCAACCACTGCCATTTAAAGCTCCCACAATTTTCAAATAAAAATAGTTCATATACCTATTTAGAGTTACCAAATCAGCAATTAGAATACCTTAAACCCTCAATATTTATTTATTTTCAAGGATCTAATTATTTCAACAATATAAAAGATGCAATTTGTACCAATACAAAATATATTTCCAGAAAAAAATTTAGTAAGAGGATTAAGAAGTAATTATCCAATAACTTATCAAGAAGCTTGAAAGGAATAAACCAATCAACATAAAGCATTTATGCAATGCCTCAATTAAGAGCAAATTCTTGAGTTACTCTATATTATTTAAGAAAGATAGCAAAAATAATATGAAAGAGCTCTCATTTGAGTACAGTACGAATATCAGATTTGGGACTATAATACCCTGAAAGCACTATTAAGTTAATGTTAAAGACTTAAAGAAATATTTAAGTTACTTTATGTTTGACCATAATACATGATGTAGTGGGTGTATATTGGGAAAGAGCGGGGAGGGGAATCCCCACAAGAAAAGCAAGTATGTTATATTCAACAGCTCAATTTATAACATTTCCTGAAAAATGATAATTATAGAACATGAATACAGTAGAACTTAAGACTTTTCTTGAAGGATAAATCTGGGGATATTTAATGAGACATTTATTTTTCCATGCTTATTAAGATCTCCATTTATAGAAATCAAGACTGAAATAATAAAGTTGCTGATACTATGTTTTGAACTTTTTACAAACTTGCCCCACTTTCCTCAGAGTTGTCACTTACTTCTGTGGATTAGATTGTTATTTTATTAAAAATATTTGATAGTAGGGAAATAATTCTGTTCATAATTATGAAATTCAGAACATCTTTAATAAACTAATGAAGGTATTAGATTAAATATTTCCAGATTTAACACT